TGAGAAGGTTGCTTTTGTCACCTTCTTCCAACAAAGAAGCAACAGTCTCACCAGCCTCGGGCTTCGGGGGCGGCAGGAGCGGATGTGGCGCGTTCACATGCCTTTCTTTACCTTAGAGAGCTGGCAGGGCCGTTCCCAGCACATTTCAAAGGTAAAACATGGGAGGTCAACCTCACATTAACCTCCAAGGAACTCATTAAAAACAGGGGTTATCACCAAGTCCTCAGCAACTTCAAGATAGGACAGCGTACTCCCACGTCAGGACCTAACTTCATTTAAATGTCTAATCCTAAAAAGTCAAGCGGCGCAGGTGGCCCCGGGCCGTGTCGAGGTCCCCATCCGTCCTACCCTCCCCGCGCTGCGCTCCCGCCGGCTCGGACCCCCGCGGGTTACCGGGAGGTGACACACACCTCGTCCGAGCGACGACACGAGGCGGAGGGAGCGGAGACGGGCAGAGAAACGACGAGGGAATGCGGGATCCCCGCGAGACCCCACCGCGCGTGAGACCAGGGCGTGCGGCGATCGGCGCGCCCCTCCTGGCGGCGGATCTGCTTCCAGGGCACAGGGAAGAGGCGTCGACGGGGCGGGGCGGCGGGTCGGGGCGGGGCGGGGCGCCGACGGACGGCGAGGGCGGGCACGAGCATCCTCCGCTGCTCCGCGCGTCGCCTCGCCTGGCCTCGCTGGGCCCAAGGCTGCGCCCGCCGCCCGCTCGGCGCGCACCGTGTGTCTCCAAAGTGAACCGGAACCGCTTGCCGAGGCCATCACCGCCGCCGCCACCGGGGAACCGGGCTCCGACCGGGAAGCGGGTGGGGGGAGGCGGCCTGCGCGGCGCCGCCCGCCATGGCCGCGGCGGGCTGAGCTCGGCGCGGCGGCTGCAGTCGCGCTGACCGCAGCGCTCCTCCGCCGTAGACAGGCCCTCCGGGCCTCGGAGGCCGAGAGGAGCCGGGGCCGCCACTCGCTCGTCACCGTTGCCGCCGCCCATGGCGAGGCCCCGCCGCCGCCGCCGCTGCTGACCCGGCGGCCGGCCGCGACTTCCGCCCTCCCCTCCGGCGGCGGCGGGCGGGCCTCCCTCCACGCCCCGCCGCCCGCGCCCCGGGACCGACAGCTGCAGGAGTCGGGGGCCACCGAAGATGGGGAACACTACTCGTGCTGCGTGCGTCCAGCCCCAAGCTCCGGAGGAATGCCCACTCGCGGCTGGAGTCCTATCGGCCTGACACCGACCTGAGCCGCGAGGACACGGGCTGCAATCTGCAGCACATCAGCGACCGCGAGAACATCGACGGTGAGCTCCCTCCTGGTACCCGCGGCCAGGCTGCCCGGGCTTCTCCGCCGGTCCCGAACCCGTGTCCATCGCGGTCGTGGCCGCCTCACTGGGCGTCCGAGGTTCCCGTAGCTTCCGGGCGGCTCCTTGATGGCCGCCCAAGTGAGCGGCCGGGAAACTTTGCCGGCCGCGGCTCCCGAACCCCGCGGGCCCAGTGGGGGCAGGAGGTGGGGGACGTGTGTGTGAACCGGTCGCGAGGGGACTCGAGCCGGCCACGGCTGGGGCGCCCCGAGAGCCCGGCTTCCTGGCGCTGTTGGATGCAGCCAGAGGCCAAGTCAGCGCGACAAGGGGGATCATGTTTGTTGTTTTAAAAGGGAATGGGATGGGCGAGCCTTGATGTACCTGAGGAGGGAGCTCCCTCAGAGAAGGAGAGTTGGCCTGAGTTACTTCCCCGGACACTTACAAGTTGACTCCACTGGGCTGTCCCCGCACCATTAAAAAGTAAGTCCCATTAAAAAGTAAACCAGCCCCAAGAATCGGTCGGTCGGTTTGTCTGTCTGTCTGTGTATGTATGTATGTATGTATCTGTCTAGGGGATGGTTGCAGGATTGCAGGCAAATAGCTTCACCTAAGAATGCTTATAAAAATATCATTTATGGGCTTGAATTACAGTTCTATTTCTAATTATCTGGGTAAATTGTAGTTTGGCTTTGAGTTCGTGTTAAAAAAAAAGTTAAAGGACTCATTATTATTCCGGTTTTGCAGCATCTTTATCAGCACTGCTTTATCAGTAAGTTCTGTGGCCTAAAAATATCTACAGAGGAGTAGGTTTACCATGGTGCATAAAATAGTTTGCATAATTTTCAACTTCAAAAGACTTGAAGTTGGAAGTGCATTTTTATTTTTATTTTTTTAACTCTCAAATCCTCACAGCTAATTTAGTGGAACTGATCTGAAAAAAATTGTGTGAATGAATGGGCCAACTCCGTCTTCATTCTTGTTGTCTTTTGGGTGGAGCATTGCGTATACTGTGGAAGGCCACACTCAAATTGCTGAAGGAAAGGCCTTTCTCATTATTTGGTTTCCATTAATTTCTTATAAATGATAACTTCATCTTTTTAGGATAGCAGTTTTATTAAATGAGTACCATAGATAGATATAGACATCTGGTTTATAGTAGGTGCTTTGTAAATTACAGTTCCAACATTATTTTTCTAGTGTTATTTTAGACATCTGTTATCTTAGCCTGCTCTTTAGATGTTTTTGAACTACAGTCATTCTTTAATTTTACAGGGTATTATGGCCAGAACTGCTCTATCCCCAAGTAACTGGAAGGAATGTCTAGCATTTAATAAAGATGTAACATTATAATTTAAAGGAAGAAAAGGAACGAACAAGTTTATTGTACAAAGTTGTTACCCAGTCTTACTTGTACAGTGCTGGCAGGCCAGAAACATTTGGAAATAATTTTTCCTGTATGTTGTGCACTAACATTTGATGGACGCTTTGTATTTTAAATGGTAGATCAAAAACCAAAAAAAGAAAAATAAAAAGATGTTCATTTTAAGAGCCAAGCTGCATAGCATATTATTATTATAAGCTATAGTAAAGAAACTGGGAAAGTATGTGATTGTAACCAGCTATTTGGCATATGACTTAGAAGGATTTTACCAGGAAACAGTGGCATGGCGCATTCTTTCATTTGAAAGAAATCTGAATTTAATTTGTCAGGCATTTTTGAGAGAACATTAGGAAGACCACTAAATTTTGTTTTGCAGATTTAGGGTAGTTTGAGGGTATGTAGGGGGGTGAGGAGGGTTGCTAATGTGGGCTGTAGTAGCCTCTTGCTCCAGAACCCAGTTCGAATGATGATGCTAATTTAAAAGTAGGAATTCTAATTTTCCGTTTAAACCATGTTATCTAACCAGCAGTTTTTGTTATTGGCTTGTTAGACTAGAAATCTTGGGCTGGGCCTTAGTATTAATCTGTTCATTTAAAGCGCTCCAGGATGCAGCTTTAAATCACTGGTTGTTAGTGTTACCTGCTGTCAAGGATATTTTGATAGAAATTCATGTAATGTTGGGTTGGGAGAAGAGAACGGATTTAAGTTAAATAGTATGTGTGCGTACATATATATATGATATATCTATATCTTTCTATCTATAGAATTGAATTTCTGAGTTGCAGTTGGCTCTCTGTATCCTTGAGTTCCACATCTGTGGATTCAACCAACCACAGATCAAAAATATTTCCCTCTTCCCCCTAAAATTTGCACCTGTACTGAACATGTACAAACTTTTTTTCTTGTCATTGTTCCCTCAACCCTCAACATACTGTATTAAAACTGTTTACATAGTCTTTGGTAGTATAAAGAATCCAGAGATGATTTATAGTATGTAGGAGCATGTATGTATGCTATAAGCAAATACCAGGTCATTTTCTGTGGGGGCTTAAGCATTCACAGATTTTGGTTATCTGAGGGGGTCCTGGAACCAACCTGCAGATACTGATTGTTAGAGTGTTAGTGAACATTTTAAAATCCCATCTGAAGAATTCTTGATTCTAGTATAATTAAAAGCTGAAGTACCAAGATCTATCTTCTATCCTGAAAAACACCCCAGCTACTGATTATTGAAAAGTTCAGAGTTTAGGAATCTTCTGTGATAGTTCAGTTTCTTTAAATTACAGAGCTATAACATATGTCTCTATGTTTTCTCCATCTTACCCTAAACACACAAAGGGGTAGTGTTTGTCCTATAGGATTCCAGTGATTTAGTTGGGGTAGGTAGACTTCTGAGATATCTGCTAGCAACTTGCTGTGCCTTTATACTCAGTATTACTATCTTGTGTGTTTGGTTATTTATGTTTTTTAAAATTTGCATTAGATCTGTCTACTTCATAAAGTCATTCAGAGATTGAGAAATAACAAGATTACCTCACAGTTGTGGTAGTAATTCCGACTCTTATATATTGATTACTCTGTGCCAGATGCTGCTCTAAAGTGCTCTGCTTGTATTCATTCATTAGAGCTCGCAGTACACCCTGTGGGCAATATTAGCCTTTACGACAAAATGAGGCACCAGGAGGACTTGCCCAGGTCACACAGCCAGTAAATGGCAAATGATGCTTAATTAGCCATCACACACACTGACAAGCCTGTGATTGCCTTTCTGGATAGGGTATCTCTTGTCATTGTAGTCATAGCCATAGTCTGAAAGAAGAAATTTCGTCGTCTGCAACAGTTATTCACTGTGGACTGTGTTGATAATGGGAGGAGAAAAATAGGGGTAGAAGAAAGAGATGATGAGATCAAATAATCAGGAATCCTGTAGCATCTGCACATAGTG